ATCTTAGACTAATGCTCCATTCTACAAAAACCACTCAAACTCTGTCCCCAGCAGCCCAGATTTTCCTTTTGGAGTGTCCCAAAATGTAAGTAGAGTTTCCTAAGTCAGTAAGTAATCATTGATAAACTTTCCAATATAACCCAATTATAATTAAGTCTAATTTCTACATCTTTTTAAATATTTCACCCTTGAGGACAAAAAAGGCAAAAAAATGATAAACCAACTTTTAGTCAGCTGCGCGATACATTTTATGTTTCGTAAACATGTGCAGTAATCAAAGTGGACAATTATGTAGGCACAAAGGGAGCAATAATTATTAGCCTACGAGCCTTCAATTCCACTCCACCATTTCTGTTAAGCATCTTCTTCACCATCTTCTCAGAGCTTTCCAGGCATAGCAAAGCTGGTCCTCAGAAGAATTTACATAGACGTTCTAGCAAATAATGAGATCTTATAATTCTGAAACCCTTACTCTATCACCACCCATCTTCTTTCCTGCAATGTTGATTTGATAGTTCCTTACTAATCCAACCCCATTGCAGAGCACATGTGAACATCATATTGATTTTAGGACTTAAGGTCAATGAAGAGCTTCTTGGCTAACATCACAAAATCATTTATCAGAAAATTCTTTTCCAAATAGATCAAAGACATTTTCAATGCTTTTGACTTTCATTTCAATGTCATTGCAACTTCTCCCAAAAAAAAAAATAGAAAAAGAGAATTTCACAATGAACCAAGGAAAAGAAGTCAACTTTTATCCATGTTTCGGCATCAACCAGCAGCAAACTAACCTCCTCATTATGTAGCATTTGCATCACTACTAATAATACTTCCGCATCTACAAGCTGGTATAGAAATTTTGGGTCCGTATAGGGAAACTAACTAACTATACTCCATCCAAAATATATTGATTCCAAACTCGCTTTAATTATCCCCTCAAACCAGAAAATGAGAAAGACACTCTTTCTGCTATTTATCTTTGAATGATATCAAAGAAGTCCACGCATTGGATGTCTGTTTAGAGCACAAAGGATACTGTAAAGCTCCATTTAGTCTCATTTAATTTCAAACAAGGAGTTTGGAAAATGGTAGGAACAGCATGCCCTCCTTGTAACCCAAATCCATTGCCAATCCTTACAAAGAAGCACTATTGACTGCAAATCTACTCAAGAAAGCTGGGAATGCTGATTGAAGGGAATATTTCTCCTTTTTTGTTTTTCAGTAGATAAACCTTGTGTGAAGAAAGAAGAACTACCCCATAGGACAAGATGTGTGGAAGTACGCTCTAAATCAAGGAGCCAAGCACTCTAAATAACCTTAAAATGTTCCACTGCATAGAGTAGATTACTTGGCCCTGCAGAATATAGATATATGAAGAAATTCCATCAATCTCAGAAATGTGTATATTTCTTCAGAACTCTTCCCACTGTATCCTTTCCCAGTATCCAAATTAAGCACAATGTGACTGCACAACATGATCTAGCTTTAGTAACTCCTTTCGAATGAAAGAATAATTCTGCAGGCAATAGAACGTGACCTAAATCTCTCAAGGGGCTAAAAACTCAGAACGCAAATAATCTGGTCGAAAAGAAACAAAAAGTTGATCATCTCATTGTCCTTTTTGTGTAAACAGCAATCACTGAGGAGACCACCCATCCAAACCCCTTCCCCTCTCTGCCACAGCCCCCCAACCACCTCCCCCCCCCCCCAACCCAAAAAAAAAAAAAGAAAAAAAGAAAAAGAAAAAGAAAGAAAGAAACCCGCGCCCAATTAAATAAAAGAAAGAGCATCATTTAGCAAGAAGTCTCATATCCCAGAACTACAAGAACTCACAGAGACAAAAGTGAGGAATTAATAGGCTCCAAGCACTATCCTGCTAAATATAGAAATGTGCTGCACATACCTCTCATAGAGTAAGAGTCAGCAAACTCCAATTGTTAACCATTAAAGTTCCTCTGAAATAGTGGCCATTAATGCATGGAATCTCTCTCTCTCTCTCTCAACCAGCACATTACCTGCTCCAACTACTCAAGGTTTTAGGGAACTCTACCTCAAGTTTCAGAGTGTCAGCTAATATCATTCGACAATTTGTCCAGTATGACTCAACTGAGTCATATGACTCATATCCATCTCAAAACCTTCCATTTCAACACCATTCCACATTATCACATGATCCGGCCAAGTTGTTTGAGACATGTCCGACTCAATCTTGATTCATCATCACCAAATTGACTGTCATCATTCAGCAACATCGCAAATCTGGTTTGAATCTCTCGTCAAGTTCAGTCTCTTCTTCTATTTGGAACAGTGTGTAGGCAGAACACTGTTCTGCGACGCCGCTACCAATGTGGCAAAATTCCTTACGAGACAACGGCCGATGCCGCAACATGCTCTGCCTCAAAGAACCCAGCCCACAGTAACTTCTTCAAGTTATTGCTACAGAGACACTTCTTGTTTACACCAGTTCTCCGCAAGATAATGAGAATCTCATAGTTGATCAGCATTTATCGTATCCATGCATATTTAGGCATTTTTTTTATAAAAAGTAACATATGTATCTACCAGGTAGATGAGAACTAGCAAACTAGGAGACAAGTAGGTGACATGTAACTTACGAACAATGATAAACTGTAAGCTTATTAGAAGTTTACCTCAGATTGAGTAGACCTTCCAGCAGTGGTGAAATTAGATTCATGACATGTAATGACCGGGCAGATTGTCTGGTCATCTCTTAGATTTGTCATATTAAAACAGTTAGGATACTAACTGAAAGCTGCCATGCCATTTGAAAATTCATAACACTATTGGTTTCACCTGTTTGAATTTGAGCTACTTATCCGAGTTATAATAAATTCATAAATACTATAGAGCAAATTCTTATGAACCAATCAAGCTGATCCAGTCGTGATTTAGCTCAACTCAGTTCAATTCGCAAGCTTATGTGTATGCTCTTCATTTCTTTAGGCTACTGAACGAACTTCAATATGCTTTCTCAAACCACACTTGCCCCAACCTTCATTTGCCAAATTACAGCGCTATCCAGACTTCTACATTCCCCTGGCAGACTAGGAGGGTGCTCACCCAGCAGCTGTACACTCCTAAATGACCAATAATACATGTCTAACCAAGTAAATCAGCAGTTACAGCAATAAGAATAACATGGCCTGCCTCCTTGCCCCAAATTATCAAAGCATTAAACATGCTATCATAATGGGGGAAAGGTGGGGGAAGTACAGTCACTTGTATTATGTGAAACTGACTATGTGGGGGTCAAATTTCACTGCTGTAATTTTGCATTGAAGGTTTAGGATGTGAGAATTCGCTCCAAGCCAATAGAACAAGAAACAGATGAATGGTTTACATAAAAAGACGATAAAAATTAAAGAAACGAGAATAAAAATAGGCACGGCTGTTAGCAGTACTCAAGGGAACAGACATATCCAGCTTTTTATGAAAGTAGGGGAAAAGAACAAATAGAAAGATGCGCTATTAAATAAGGATTTCTTTATCAAACCGTTCAAAAAGCTGTGGGGCCAAAATTTGGACCATTTTTAAGTGAAAACAATATGGGTAACCACAACTTTAAACGCAGCGTGTCAGTAATCAACTAAAAGTTGTCAAGATTCAGAATTCAACAAGAATTACTTACAGTAATGACTCTTCGTATGCCTACAACTCCTAATATCATGGCATATGCAATAGAAAAGCAGATATTCTAACCAGATGTCATCTTCAACTTTGATCATTTAATATTTAATCCCTAACATGCCAAATGCCAATATGTTCCTAAATACATTTTTATCTCACTGTCAAACTTCCTTTGCAACTTAACAGAGTAATATGCGTATCTATTCACTTTTATCTTTTCAATTTTTTCCTCTTTGAGTCTAGAAAGAAAGAGCAATTTTCAATTTGACAAGCATGATATCAATAATATAAGGTTGAAAAGGATTTGAGGTCCTAATAAAGATCCTTCACATGTTATCTCAAGATTGTTCGCATCTATCCCTCGTTAGGAGAAACTAGTGATACCAGAAAAAGTGCCATCATTACCAAATCCGAAGAGAAAATAGCAACTCGTGACATGATCTTGAAAATTGCATGGCATGGCTCACACCGCTTTATTGTGTCTCTTTTGGTGACGCAATTTGATGGTTTTGGAAATGGGAAAAGAACTTCAACTTTATGGAAGTGTGCAATTATGACTATTTTTTGGGTGGTATGGATAAAGAGAAATCGTAGAATCTTTGACGATAAGGAGGACAATAAGGAATTTCTTTGGGACAGAGTGAAGTTTTTGGCACCTTTATGGGTTATCGTTACCAATGATTTTCTTGACATTTCTCTATTAGGTCTCCTACATAATTGGAAAGCCGTTTGTAGCTCATTCTCTATCGTTACCAATGATAATGACAAAAAAACAATTCCAATATGTTTCAGTTTCACACTAACCATCAGATATTACACCAAGGAACTACATAACAGAAGCATGACAGTTAAACAGATGGCATTGAACAGCCAGCGACAAGAAATACGAATTCACAACTCTTCGCCTAAGCAAATGCTAAAGGTTTGATCCACTGGAATATGCCTCACATAAAAGATAACTTCAGCACAAAATAGCGCACAAAATAGCACACTGAATAGTGCAACTAGAAACTGCAATTCCATCACACAATTGACAGTGAACATGAAAGTATGGCCCTTAATAGACCACAATGATGAAACAGGATCCATGGGCAACCCAAAAATAGAGGGACAACCAGACAAGTCTTTATTGAGTTGAATTGACACCGAACAAGAGCTACAACAAATCAGAGGGCATATAACAAACAAATGAAACCTTTAGCAACAGAAATAAATGACACAACCTGACATCAGTAACTGACAAGAAACTTCTGAATGTCACTAGAATAGAAAGTCAAAATTACCTCAGAGCATCATGTCCACAAGAAACTCATTGCATCACAATCAAAAATGCACCAACTCCTCATAGCTTAGTTACATATTGGAAGCTTCCCTGTCCACTCATCAGCAACCCCATAGTCAAGACTAAGCTCCCTCAGAGGAGGGATATTCTCCATTGCAAATAACATAAGGTGAGGGAAAGACACACTATTGTGATCATACAGCACAAATTGCACTAGAACGTTGGGAGTCGAACTGTGGCTCATGTAACAAGCAACATTCCTCATCCTCGATACATCCATAGCAAAATCCAGCGGAGGAATTGAGGGATATGCTGGGCGCATATAATCAGAAAATACTTGTGATAAATCCCCCCATTCTGCCCATCTTTCAGCGAATCGATTTGGATAAACTAAACTGTCACCATTCATTGTAAAAAGTTGGGCTTGCTCCCTCGTGAGAACAACGCCAGTATATTCACAAATAAAAGACCCAGCTTGTATCAAGTCCAATGACCTAACTCCCCAACCGGTCTCCCTTGATCTAAACACTTCAAATCTATTCCTCACCCCTTTTTGGCTCACACGGTTCCGACAAGTCGGAGGGCAGCGACAATGTGGCCCACATTCAAATATCAAAGGTTTCCCTCTCAATAAAATCCCATTATGTTCATAAGGAAACTCGCCTCCATTTTTCATTGCACAAAAGCAATCATCTACACATCCCAAAACACAATCACATCCGGTACCACTACCCACCTGCTGATACACAAAAGGCGGAAAAACAATTGAAGAAGTGTACTCATAATAGACTGGTTCATGGTCGTTATCAATGTCATTGTATAAAAAAACTGGCACATTTTCCTTTTTCATTGAAATGTCGAGACTAATATAACCCACTGGCCTAGCAACCAAAGGTCTAGTCCTGAGATTCTCCGCGAACCTAAGAGTTGCGCTTCCCATTTCCAGTTGATTATCCATTCTAATAAGCTTGAACTTATACACACCAAAACCAGACTTACCCACATCAAACCAGGAATCAATAATTTTATACAACCCATCATAAACATAAACTTTGCCACTAGCACTACCCTCATATTTAAAACCGCGCATAACTCTCACCTCAATTCCATAATGCATGCTTCGCTCCAAAGCCAAATTTCCTCCTTCAAGCTTCTGATGCACACATTGCCTCGAATTCTTATCCTGACCGCCATGGCCGGTGTAAACTATCACATCCCCAGCATCTTCATCGTCCTCATACCCACCGGACACAATTACACTTGTCGCTATTGGCTCACCATTCGAACTCTGGCTTGCAGGCACATAATCAATTCCAGCCTGAGGTTGCCCATGTAATCCAACCACACACAATTCCATTCTGAAGAAAAACACATCCCCAATATGAACCCCTGGGATCGAACCCACTATCCTTTTATCGCGATTTAGCCACAATCCGCAGTCCCTCATCAACGCTGCTGCTTTTAAATCACCTCTAGTCTTCCTTACAGGCCCTAAACACCTTCTTTTATCGTCCTCAGTCATCGAAGAAATCCTTATAGAATCATAAACCATTCTTGTTCTTCTCACAATGTCTCGAAAGTATCGCTGGTCCTCAATCCCAAGATCTGTAACTCTAACCAACTCTGAAGACCGTTGATTGTACTTCCGACGCGGCGAAACCACGACGGTTGAGAGCTGATTTTCATCTGAAACCGGAACAATTGCCCTTGAATCGGGGTCTAAAACGTCGACGTCACCGAATCTCTGCAATCGCTTAGCAAAAGCGGTACGAAACAGCTCAGAGATTCGGTAGAATTCTGAATAAACGTTGGATTCATCGGAGGATAAGTTGTCACATTGTGTCAAAGAGTTGTTGGGGACTGAGTTTGAGTTTGGGTCCGAAATGGGTGTGTTGGGTTGAGGGAAATTAGGGTTAGGGTTCGGGGAAAAGGGTTGCTTCTCGAAAGGGGAATGGAGTGGCTCGTCGAGTGGTTCGGGTTTCGGTTCGATCTTGGGGATTAAAGTAACGGTAGTGGTGCTGGTGCCGGTAGAGGCGTGGTCAGGATAGAGATTGAGGTCTTGAAAAGGAATCAGAGAACCCATTTTTTTGGAGAGAGAAAGAGAGAGAGATGGGGTTAGAGAGAGAAAGCCGAGGACTGAGTCATGGACATGGGGGGTAGGATTTGCAGAGAGGCTTTGAGCTTTGAAGTTTGGAAATGGAGGAAATTCAAGATGGAAGTGTCTCTGTTAAGAGAGAGAGAGAGTACAGTAAAGATGAAACAGACAATTTAATGTCAGAAGACCAGAGAGTTGAAATGCTGAGTTTTGTACTTGCAGTTGACGGAATTGCCCTTACTGAGTTTGCTGAGCTCAGTTCTGAGTTGGAGCACAGTGCAATGACGGAGTAAAAGAGAGGTTAGTCTATTAGAGAAAGATGCGTACCTCTCACCCAATTGTTAAAGATTAGGTGGGATAACTATATGGTACCTCAATTTTACTTTTTTATATTTTATTTTAAAAATGAATTTTTATTGTATATTTTTATTTTTAAGTAATTAGCTATTAATTGTAAATATAAAATCAAATTTAAATTAAATTACAAATTTTTATATGTATTATTTTGCCATTAACCAAAAAAAACACAAAATTAAAAATAATCAAACATGGTGTAACTTTGAACCGCCGACTCGGAACGATTTAAATACAATATTTTCCTGAGTTTTGCAAAAAAAACGTTTCAATGAATATGAGGAAAAGAATATATTATGGACATCGCTAAATAAGATTACTATCATCTCATGAATTGGATTTGAACTACTATCAAATTACTTGCCGTAGTTAGAAGAGTCTTTTTTGGTAAATAGAAAAATTAGGTGATAAGTTAATGTAAAAAAAATGTAATTTTATTTTTCCACTTGAAAATAGAAAAAAAACTAAAAAATGACTGAAAAAGAGAAATAAAAAATAATAGGACAAACTTTTTATTCGGAAGAAAATACTCTTTCTCTTATTTTTTTTAGTATGATAATCGAAAAGTTGGGGATAAACTTTTTTCTTGTTCAATATTGGGCGCAAAAAAAAAAATAATTTACCTTTGTACCCTCAAAATGAAATTTATCGTTTTATCATCATGTACAAAAGTACGTTTTTAATGTTCTAAATGGATTCAATCAATTCAGAAAAACTCGAGCTCCATTATTTTGTTAAAATAATTAAACATGTCAATCTCTAAATTAAAAATCACCTATTTTGTTAGATTTTTTCCCACTTTTCCACTCCCTCATAATTTCTTTTGGTACCAATTAGTGGAAAACTCCCCTTCTTTCTTACTTTCATTCTTTTATTTTTCATCCACTCATTTTTCCAGCATAATTTACGCTTTGGGATTTGATTTCACCAAAAAAAAATCATACGACATTTGAAAACCGACATAGTAAACATTATTAAATATCAAATGGACCCTAATGTCGTCAAACAACTTAAGTCAACAATAATATTCTTTAAAATATCAACATTGTCTTCTTTTTTAAGAAATTTAACCCCAAAAAAAAACTCATTGTTTATTAAAATAAAATTAAACGCCATTGGAATATAAGGCGGTTGTTTTTTCCAAGTGATTTTACCATTAATTACACAAGATTTTTCATACTCAAATTTGACGCTTTAATGCAATTCATCCAAATTTAATACCTTACTATTTAGCTTTGGATTGGTCACATACTTTTGCATTAAATTCGTGGGTATTTGGTCATCCACTGCTGTCATAGCACCTATCATCTACCATGAGTAAATATTTGGTGTCAGTATTGTCACATAATATTATCAATTAATAAAAAAAAATTAAGTGGGTAAGGTAAGTTCCATTTAGGTGTTCAGATCAGCTTACGCATATTTTAACTAATTCTTTTAGTCAGTCCGGTTAAAAGCAAATCATCCATGTTAGAATTAGGATAGTCATAATGGATAAATTTCTCATTGTTTGATCTGAATGGGAGGTTAAGATTCAAATTCATGACATTTAGGTTTACAGTTTGTCTCTATTACCACTTGAACTACTCTTGAAAATTTACAGCTCGTCCATATTACTACTTGAGTAGTTATTGGAGAACATAAAAAAGAATAGATAGTTATTGACTTACACGAAGGTATAGCTATTGTTTTGTGTAGAGTACATTTACTTATTTGTTTTCATGTTATTGATTGGTGATACCACGTTACAGTGCGAACGTGATAATACCAATGCAATGAATGTTTTCTCCATCTAAGATTCTTGATGTCTTAATTAATTTGAAAATTCATCATTTTTTTTTCTCTCTCAAAACTATAAGAGTGTGTTTGGCTTAGGTATTAGGAGGAAATCTTAGATAAAATAATGTCTGGGTCCATCTTATCTCATTTACTCCCTTGTTTGGATACACACTTTTGGTCCCGTATTATCACGTAAAAATACTCCCAACTTGGATAAATAGTGTTTTTAAATCTAAATATAGCCTCTTAAATAAACCCACATATTTGGTGGGTTTAAATAGTCCGTTTTGGTATGTTTTGACATTTTTATCCTCAAGAATCTCTGCGATATAATTATTTTGAGGGTTCTTTAGTAATTTAATATTTATATCATCTTTCATTTAATACTCCATCAAAACAAAATATTAGATGTGATAAATGTGAGACACATTACTTTTTAATACTTAAATCAAACATATGATAAGGAGACATTATTACTATAATTAGTCTAAGGTCCGAATGAATGGGTATATATGGGATGAACGGGTTTGTCCAATCTGATATTATCTAATATTTAAACCAAAGATACCCTAAAATCATGGATGAGTTAGTTCTCAATTCAAATACCTCATTTCATATTAGAGGCTCAATAATTTGCACACTCATCATAGATATTAGAGAATAGTTCATTTGAGTTAGGCATATTCCAATAGAAGTAATAGGAAAGTGTGTGAATGAGATTGTATTGGGATGATGATAGTTAGTGATGATAGGAAAGAGAAAGCGGAGTGATGACCGTGATGTAGTGGCTCGATAGTGGCAATTAGTAGAAATAGACGAAACGTGATGGTGTTAGAGGTGGTTCTCTATGACAAGCAAGAGAAAAAGAAAATAGTGGTAGGTTTAGTGGCATAAAGGATGAATTGTTGGGGTGGTTACTTTGATTTTAAACAATTGCCACTTTTGACCAAAGTAGTTACCAAGTTTAACCAAGGATTAAAACATTGTTTCTTTTTCGATATAAAAGAGGCTTAACATATTTTCTTCCCAAGATGTTTTGACTCTTTGCCATAGTCACAGATGTTCCAGATTCACATGATTACATACAAATCATTTTTTTGTAGACAAAAATAAAAGATTATGACTTTTTTCAATAGATAACCAAAGAACGGACAAGAAAAGACTAGAGACCTATTTCATATAAGCTAGCTACCCAATGAAATGACCTATCTATTGAAGGAGCTTAAACCAAGGTATCCCTATGTGTCGGGCATTGCTTTCCTTTCAGATAATTCGTTCCTTATGTACTATACTTATTGAATTTCAATTTCAACAAATGGTCGATACTTATGGATTTGAAGGGATCTATCGTGATCTTAAAAGTCACATAAACTCGTAATTTAACAAATAAAAAAGATTATGAATAACGTTTTTATAAATTAAGATAAAAGATAAACAAACCAGAATGAGATTATTAATATCGAATAAAACTTTTATGCAAATGGTGGATACTAAATGACGTGGTGCAATAACAATCATTAGAAGATTGATTGAAAATAGGTGAAACCCATTAATCTAACCACCCAAATGTAATTATTAACCAGTTTAGTCCCCGTTAATAGTGTATGCTGAGTCATAACTGGTACAAACTTAATTTAAGAGAGAATACGAGGGTATAATGGTCAACAAACTCCAAAGTCCATCGGACCATCACGATGCCTAGAAAGATGTAACTCCCAAAATTTGTAGAGGATGCAACTCAAAATCTTAATAAATAAAATATATGTAATTTTTTTAAAAAAATTTATTACTTATTTTTACTTTAATTGCTAATGATTAAAATAAATAAATTAAAAATCTATAGCTAAAAGTTATTTTAAAATATGGTATTAAAAAATTATTTTCGGTGGTATAACTTTATTCCTCGTTAAATATTAAGATTTAATAAAAAATTTTATACTGAAGTTTTTGATATTTTATTTAGAAATTAAGAGGTTATGAAAATGACATATTTTTTATAATTTCTTTATATCATAGAAGATGCACAAGTTGGGACGTTGATTTTTTGAAGTGGTGTAACATGAATGCGAAATGAATATAACAAAATACAAATTAATAATGATGGGATCAATTAATATAAGGAATAAATAGATAAAATTAGGTTTATATCATAATAACTCGATGTTGACCCGACACGTCTTTTAAAATGATATTATAAGAAAAAAAAGTCTATTTGTTTAATCATTTTAGGGTCAAATAAATTTTATATTTATTGGATCTTAATTCTATTAATTTTTTTTTTTTTTTAAGTTCAGCGGTCAAAGATTTATGAGCCAACTTACGCACACTTTAATTAATCTTTTATCCTAATTGATCAAAATTATGGAGTAAAATTGTAAGAAAAAAAAAATTCATATGAGAGTTTTATTTTAATTGATATGAAATAGGTAATTTCTGGAACGCCAACATCAAATTTATTTCAAAATAAATTAAGAATATATTAATTAAGATACTTAGAAATTCATTTCTCTTTTTTTTTAAAAAAAATTTGGAAAAGAAAAGATATAATAGCATGAACATATTTTTTAATTTCTCATGAAAGTTTCAAAAAAAAAATCAGCTCTTTTTTTTTGGTTATTTCATGGTTTAATTCTAAAAAGTTCAAACAACTATTTCCACCATTAATTAAGACCCAAAAAGACGAATATTAATACAACTTATTAATGAAATACGAGATCGACACAAAATTATTGTATAGAAATTTATTTGTAAGGAATTTTAAGTTATAATCAAATTAATTCACCTACCCTTTTCAATAAATATGTCAATTTAAATAAAATAAAATTTTAATATAATATAATTATAAAAATTAATAT